CCTTTTTTGTTTAGACTGGTTGTAAAGCCATGTAGCAAAACATTATCACCATGCTTCTGTGTTTCACCCGTTAGCCAACTTCACGTCCAACTCAGGATGGTGTAACGCATTTCTTTTAGCTCCAATTTAATACTTTGACTTCTAAAAGAAGTCTCTTATGTCCACTTTTCTTTTCTTTAGACATCCTGGCTGCGCCTTACGCACAAGTGGACCACCGATTCAAACACGTTCAATGTAATGAAAGCCTCCTGATATTACAATCCCTTTCAAAAGCTGACGGCCCGACCCCAGGCAGAACAAACGGCCAACTTTACAGTGGCCCCAGACTTAATGAGGACCTCCTGGCAACTAGCAGACGCCGGTGTGCAAGCCAAGATGGAGTGACAGGCGGGGACGGCCAAATCCACACCCAAGAACCCGGCAGAGCCCATCGAGGAAGGCCTTGTGGCGGGGGGCTTAAACTAAGGGGGAGAAGCCAGGCTTTCAGCTTGAGCGCTGTTCTTCCGCTTGGTCCTAGTGCTGCGAACGCGCTCTGTTTTACTATCCACGTCAACGTTTAACTAGGCGTAAACAAAAATTTTTTTTTGTTTTTTTTTTTTTTCTGGAGGTAAAAGCTGCAGGGGACCCCCAACAACGCTTTTGAAAAAAGTGCAGGGGACTGTGTGTTCGTGTGTTCCTGGGTTTTTAACCATTCCATACATATACCACTCACCTTCCTCACTCACACAGAACATTGCAGACCCATTACTGGTTTGCCTGAGCCAGACCAGATATTCCAAAATGTCACGTTGGATTCATTTTGTATTTCTACTGTAATTCAAGATTGAGTTAACTATTCACAGACTATGTGGTCCCTGCCGAATCCTTTGTCACACACGTTGTTGAGCCCAGGTTGTGACAAAATGAAGGGCCTCGTCCGGGAATTGCCTTCGTACAAAAACATCATTGTAGTGTTGCAGTTATTAAGTGGTTAAGGCAGTTGTCTTGGGGGGCCACATCCCCTAGACCTCGAGGGTGCGTTTGTGCAGTGGCTTTCCTTGTCCCCTGGTTGGTTTTAAGTGCATAAATACCCAGCTGTAAGTAAATGCCATGAAGAGACCAGCGGGGGTTGAGATTAAGTAAATTTTTGGATAGGCAGTTAGTGGGAATGCTTTATTGTTATGGCATCAACCAGTGATCAAGAAAACTGTAGCTGGCTATGGCTACTTTTGCTAGTTTTGTGTCAGTCTCTCGTCCGAGGCAGCCTTTTAAATAGTTGTACAAAATAGGCACCTTTTTGATAATTTGGTTGAGCATGTATGATGTTGATATTGGAGAAAAACCGTTAAACAGGAAAGGAAAATTAAATATATTAATTAATTAGTAATAAGTAAATGTATATACTGGGTTTTTTGAATAAAACTTAATACAACTAAAAATAATAGCTCCAGTTCATAGCATTTAATGCAAACTCCCCCATTTCCTTCGCCTCCCAATCTTTCTCCTTGCATGTAGCCAGGCCACAGTCCAAATATTCTAATGTAAACACCGTCAATTGAAGAGTGTTATGTAAATTTAAGTCCAAAACAAAAGTTTATTTTACCAAAATTTATAAAGGAAAAACTCAAACAACAGAGTAACGATGGTTAACCTATTTCTAAAGCTGGTTTAAAAGAAAAGTGTGTGTAAAAAAAAGTGTGAATGAATTCACTGCGATTTACCGTAAATCTTCACCTTTTCCTTGGTTCAGGTTTAAGAAAATGCCTTTCAATTCTGTTGTTCCTTACAATGTTTAACTTCCTGTTTCTCCACAAACCCAAAACAAGGGTGTGGTGGCAAGCTGTGGTTGGTCAGACCAGAATTTGAAATTTCACGCAGCTTGCTTAGCTTTGTCCTCAATTAGACAACACGTCATCTGTTAACTCCCACCCTTTTAAACCCTTGAAAAGGCAGCATTCAAGCCTCCACCAATAGCTACAGTGACCCAAACAGACTTTGTTTACCTGCTGAATGAATCACAGCCATTAAACAAACTGAAGCATTATAATATGTGACCTGCTCCATCATTTTGAGTCACTTTGACCCAGAAACAGATTTTGAGTTTTCTTCATGACTGTAAAGAGGAAAGTCTCAGCTTTATGGTGATACCAAAATTATTTTTCTACTCGTCTCCCGGCATATTTTCTGTCCATCAAGGAAGTAGGCAGTCCTCTGATGCCTACACTCCTTCTGCTGGCTTCTCTTGGAGCACACTGTATCTTGGACAGGGTCATCATGGGGAGCTTATTTTCCCAGGAGAACCAGGTTGTTTTTCAATCTACAAAGGACATAGCAATTATGATATGTCCCATGTTCAGAACATAACATTCACCATGTGATTTTAGATGGTTTTACAACCCATACTTTTATTATAGGCTATTTGTTGCTATAATTATTGCCCTCACATTTTCATCTCTCACATACACTGCATAATGCAATGTTTGCTAGCCTACACACACTTCACTCCACAAAAGAACAACACACACACACACACACCTACACACTCACACATACACTCACTCACTCCTCTCGTCTCACACGCTACACACGCACAGACAGACCGACACACCCACACACCCACACACCCACAACCACACAGACTACTAAGTTAAGACATTATAAGGCACCGATAGCAATGTTCTTTTCTCTTATTAGGCCTCCTAGCCTTACAGGAACAGCATCATGTAGCCCAAGCTGAAGTACTTCCATTGTCATTTCTTTGATTTTGTGTCCCTTCTCTCCACCATCCATCCTCCGTGTTGTAGAGCTTTGTAACAACGCGCTGCTGTTCGTGGAGGTTATGCAGCTACACTTGTACTCCTAGCTATCTCGATTTCCTTTATACTGTCTTCATTTACATAATTATAATTACAGACAAATGTAAGCTTACCATTGGGTCAGCCATGAGTGGAATATCTTCCTCCTCGCCTCCGTCACACTCACTTTCTTCGCCATCACGATCGGAGCCGGCCGGTGTCGGTGGCGCGAAATCCGAATCAGATTCGGAGGTCGAGCCGCCGCTGTCACTGTCACTCTCAGCTGCCGGTGCGGTGAAATAGTCCGTAGTAAGGTCGATCCAGTTGTCGTCTGAAGTAGCATGTCTTACAGGAATTGAATTAAAAAGTCGAGCCAATGTCGTCGGTCGCGAAAATTCATTTTGTTTAGGCTGTCAATCTGTCAATCTGTCTCCGTGTCTAAACTTACAGTTATGACGCAGGATGACACAAACACGCTAGCCGGGTTTTGAACTCTGACACCTGTTTTGTTCTTATTTATGCTAGCTATATTTATCCTTTGTATTTTACATTAATTTTGACATTGTATTAAAGCTGAGACTTTATTTAATTGTATTTGGAAACATGTAAAAACTGAAAATAGCCCAAAATTGTATTTTCTTGTAAAAACGTACCTACACAAACGGGCCGCTGCGACATCCGACTCATTCTGATGGAACGCGTCACATTTGAAAATCTTACTTGTGTTATTTTTCAATGTTGTCTCTTTATTTTCCCAGGTTTGACGATCTGATGGATAACCTCCCCTTGCCCGAGTACACAAAAAGAGATGGTCGTCTAAACCTTGCCGCCCGCCTGCCCAACTTTTTTGTGCGTCCCGACCTTGGACCTAAGATGTACAACGCCTATGGTGAGAAGGACTGTCCCATGGAAATGTTTCATTCCCTGTCACACAGCTAGATGTCTCACCTCTTCCTCTCTCTCCCTCCTTTATATATTAGTTTTCATTTATCTCTCTCACTCTCTGTTCGTCTGTCTGTCTTTCCCTCAGGTTTAATATCGTCTGAAGACAGGAAGGTGGGAACCACTAACCTCCATCTGGATGTCTCTGATGCTGTCAACGTAATGGTTTATGTTGGCATCCCTCAAGGCGAGGGAGACCAAGAGCAAGGTCAGTGGACTTAAACACACACTCTCTCTTTGTTCTCACACACACACACACACATTTAATCATTTCTTACATGACACACTTATAGGGTACACCAAACCACCGTATTGTAGCTACTAAATGTTATCAAAAGCACAACTTATTTCCCAAAACACATTCCCATTTTATTTATAGTATTACATGCAAATTCTCAGATTCTCATTTTAAACACTGGATATTAAACACTCGTCCTTCATCTAACTGATCCTTCCTGAGCAGCCTTTGAGAATATTTTCACAGCTGTTTTTCCGAACACCATGCTTTTCACTGTTTTTAGTTGCCCCAGGGTTGATTGGCTTGAATTGGGCCGTGAAAATACCCTTCAGTGGGTCTCACTTGTTTACATTGTGGCAAAATTTCTCATTCACAGAGGCAGATATCTCTGGACGCAAAGGTCTGTAGACTTTCAGTTGTATCACTTCAGTAGCATGCCCTTCTTCTTGACTAACTCCCCTTCTTCACCCCTCCCCCAAGACCCCCACCTCCTCCTCCCCACTCCATCCTTCTGTTATTATCTGTGAAGTACGGGCCAGAGCACTGGGACCCATCTGTTAGTTTCTAATGTGGCATGTTTTGTACATTTCTTTGTAAACGCAAACTGTATTAACACCTTAAATTAATAACGGATGGCATTGAAATTTCTGTTGTTGCCCTTTTGGAGAGTCTGACTTTCTTCTACATAGATTTCAGGGTTGGGTTAACGTGTGAGCTGTTTGGGGTTCAGTCAGTAACGTGTATTTCACGAACTGACACAGACTTCACATAAGATTGGACATAATTACTACAGTGGGGGAGTATCTTCAGTTCCTGTTAGCTTTGGGTGAGCTGTGCTCTGGTCCTTACACTGTGGGAGAAAAGTTTCAATGAAGGGCATCTAGAATTGGCTTCCCTATTCCCTCGCAGGCTTCCTGTCATTTATCACAGTGACACAGACACACACCCAACAGTATGACCACAGGAATGCTGTCTTCATGCACTGGCCCCTCTTCTTCTTCTTCTTATTGGGACCATGGGATTTTACATGCACTTAAAAATAAACACATTGACTGATTCATCCTGCCAATTGAACATAAGACTGTGAAGGAATCATTTGTGAGTGGCCAGATAATAATGCCTGTGCCAGCACACACACACACATTGTTAATATAAGTTACATTACTGGGTTACGGTTAAACACGTACACATGGTGAGGTAGCAAAGAGATGCACTTGAATTTAACAACTTTAAACTGGTGAAAGACAAAAATCAGTCAGGAATGTGTTTGTTTTCACTTATCTTTCTGAATAACTCTTTGTAGGCAGTAGTGTTAGCTGCTCTGTACGATCAACCTTAGGCTGTCGATGTGAATATTGTGTCAGTCAATGTGATTGTGTAGTCTGTAACTCGTCCTTATCTTTGCCCCAGTGGTTCTCAACTGGTCCAGCCACAAGATCATCATTTGCCTTAAGTCACAACCCAATCATCTGTAAACATTTGAACCATTTTCATTGATTTCTTATATATATATAAAATAAAAATATAAATATATATATTTGGCGCTATACAACTAACATTGAATTGAAATTGATAGTTCAGTGATCTGCAAATCTTTCATGCGCTTGAAACATTTGTCCTGTTGTGGTATTTTCATGTTTTACCAAAGGCAATATTAATAGTTTCTCTTTAGACACATTTTCTTTTATTAATCACAGTTCTTTGGGGAAAAACATGAACACATCGGACTGCTGCTCGGGATGGTTGTGTCGTGACAGCCACATGATGCAGCTACAAACAGTATTTTAAGAGAAGCTCTGGAAAATCAGTGCACTTCAGAATAAAACTATCATGGCCCACAATCTTGCAGTCCTCTTATAATGGACTTGCGACTTGCCACTGGTGGGTCATGAGCCACCAATTGAGAACTACAGCTCTGTGCCATTGTTGTCAAACAGTATGAATGTACAATAATTCAGTTATTTAGGAATTATGCCATTAACGACGAGAAATGCAGATATATCTTGACTGTCCCAGGACGGGGGCCTGATACGTTTAGTCAGTCATCAAACTGGAATGAGGAAAAGACGGTAGTGTTTATGTAATGTTGAAACATCAACAGTCACAGCTATAAACCTAATTTAGTTGAAGAGAAAACTCTACTGTAAACTCTGAAGACTGCTGGTGACCCTTTGGTGTCCTGTATGTGTGTGCTTTGTTGTTTATGTTTGGTCCTCCAGAGGTCATGACCACGATTGAGGAGGGCGACGTGGATGAAATGACGAAGAGGCGAGTGTACGAGGCAAAGGAGAAACCTGGAGCTCTCTGGCACATCTACGCTGCCAAGGACGCTGAGAAGATCAGAGAACTGCTCCGCAAGGTCAGCAGGCAGTAGATTTCTGTCTAAAAAGAGCATCTGATCTCTCACGCTCAGACCTAGGGTGCTTTACAAAGACAGTGATGAATTGAATGAAAACTGCTCTACCTATGGCCTGATGTCAACAGATATAATACACAAACAAATCTCTGATTCCCCTTCAGAAAATACTTTTAAGACAACTTGCATTCTATGAATTTATGTTAATCTGAACCCAGTTTTTCCCTCCTCTACATCTCGTTTATTACACTTAATGGTTAAGATTATGACACGGTTTATGCACGTCTTTGTCAGGTGGGAGAGGAGCAGGGACAAGAGAACCCTCCAGACCACGACCCCATTCACGACCAGAGCTGGTACCTGGACCAGGTGCTCCGCCGCAGGCTGTATGAAGAATACGGCGTCCAGGGTTGGGCCATTGTACAATTCTTAGGAGATGCCGTATTTATCCCTGCTGGAGCTCCACACCAGGTCGGACATATTGTGTTATTTTAAGAAACCTTAAACAGCTAAAAATGAATTCAACTGACAAAATTTGGGTCGGGTACAGCCCTGTTATAGATATAATTTATGAATGTCCTGTGATTCAAGATCTTGAATGTGCTTTATTAACATATTTGTTCATTCTCTGCTCTTCTCCTCTCAGGTGCATAACTTGTACAGCTGTATTAAAGTGGCAGAGGACTTTGTGTCTCCTGAACATGTGAGGCACTGTTTCAGACTGACCCAGGAGTTCAGACACCTGTCCACTACTCACACAAACCATGAAGACAAGCTACAGGTTGGTGGGATTTTCTCTCATGTAGTTTCAACATCGAATTTGAATGCATTCAGCCGGAGAACGAGTGTTCACACCTTTGTAATCTGCTGGTTTGATGGACAAGAAGTGACAAACTCAGACTAGGTTAAGAGTTGCTTAGAGAAATTAAATTAATAAGTGTGAACAGAAGTCAAGTTCAACTGATATAAGTTATGTGATACACAAAATGAAATCAAAACAACTTTATAACTGGATGTGAAGTGTGTTTTTATATTTTAAAATCAATTTTCTTTAATGATTTGACTTCTTGTGTTAAGATTTATCATGTTATGTATTTAGGTGAATTTTAAAATCTTCCAGCCAGCATTTGAAAGTTTCATTTGGAAAAGTACTAAGCAGAGGCTGTTTTTTTTTTTTCCCTCCCGTGATGCAGCAAGCAAATGTGTGCACGCTGGTAGAAGACATCAATCAGTTTGTGACTATAGAATAAAATTAATATCTTAACGTTCTTCTAAAGGGATTAAATCTGTTGACAATAAACGACGATGCCTGCTTTGGAAACTCTTCAAGCATCATCAGAGGAATGTTAAAATAGCCACAAGTGACAATTAGTTTGTCTTTTGGCATAAACAATAACAAGGAAACGGTATAACGCAGCTCTATTCTCAGGCAGCTGCTTGTTACTGTATGAGTTGACATTAATATATAAACAGCACTCAGCCTTAGAGACAACGTTATGTACATGTTCTGGGGCAGGAGATTGTTTCCATGTTTAACAGACTTTTCCTGTCTTGTTCTCCTCAGGTGAAGAACATCATCTATCACGCAGTGAAGGACGCTGTTGGGACACTGAAGGCGCACGAGCCCAAACTAGCCCGCCCTTAGTTCTTCTCACTCAGTGCTGTCTCAAAACAACCAGCCTCTGACGACCACTCCACTACGTATACACACAGTATGCATTATATACCTACATACACAAGTACAATCTGCCGAGTGCAGAGTACAAAGATAGAGTGTAGGTTTTGGGGGGAGGGGCAGTGATGGTCTGGGTTTGGGGGAAAGAGAACATTTCATTTTGGGAGGGATTAAACTGGGATGGGGCTAGTCAGCGCTTCGATGAAGGAAGTCCTTTATCGCTGTTACACAGTACGCTCAAACTTGTCTAGTTGTTTTACAATTTTTTTTTTTTTTTTTTGGATTAACTCTGTATTTAAGGTCAGTGTGTTTGTTCTGTTGTTTTCATTGTATATGTAAGATGTGAGAGTAAGGGAGGTAAAAGCTGAGCAGAGGTTCAGCTACCATCTTAAGTGACTGACAAAAATGTGAGTACTGGGCTAACTTTCCTATTTTGATGACGTTGATATTATTTTTCTTCAATAGGAGCGAGGTTAACCTGTTTTTTTTGTAGATTTTTTTGTTGTTGGAGTTTTTAAACAGCTGATTGCTTCTGCCCTTTGTGGTTGAAATGAATTTGTGAAGCAGCCAGTGAGGGGAAGCAGACCAAAGTTTTGTATTTTTTGTTTTATTTCACTTTTAGAGTAAGAAGTCTTTTCTTTTTATACACCACGATGTAACGATTAGGAGGACTTCAGAGAAGGCAGTTTTGTTTTTTTGGTCACCTATCTTTGTCCCATGGGCTGAATGAACTGCAGACTTCCAACAACATTGTTCAAGAATCACAATTGCAGCTGAACAGAACTACTGGCCATTAACATTGTATCAATATATATATTGATCTTAGCAGTCTGTTTGATTTTTCACAATAAAGTTTACAAAAACTACTGTTTTAATATGTCATTTTTATCCACAACCTGGGTGCCTATAGGACATTGTCGTATTAAAATGTTTGAATTGGGGCTATTTATTTTTTATTAAGTCCAAAAAAGGTATTCATAAACAGCAAATATTAACATTTTGAAGCAAATATGTAGGATTATCTCTCGATTGACAACTTAAGGAATCACTTCACTTTCTGTTGATTGACTAATTGTTTCAGCACTTGTTTAAATGCCTCTCATAGATTTAATGTCCTGTGTGGTGTTGAATATGGTTAGTGTTTCTTCATCTTTTACTTTCCAATCTGACCAAGTGTTTATCATTCTCAGTTTTTCAGTGCTGAATATTGTCTTTTTTTCAGCTGTAATTAGAATAATAAAGCTCTTAAAATCACCATAAAACACACCGCCATTTACCAGATTGTGTTTTATGGATGACAGCTGTTATAGTCTGTCCTGTGTGGCCTAGCTTTTACTGCTCGTGTCTGAATTAGTAAGTGGATCACAAAAATGGGGCAGAGAAGATTGAATGTACTGTGCCTAACCAAGGAGGAGGAGGAGGCAGGCATGAGTGCCGTTACTTTAAACCAACAAAGACATCTTTTTAAATCACAAGGTTTACTGTCTTTAATAAGAGTCACTCTAGAATAATCTCATCTGCTGTTAACAATGGGCTCTCTGGCATCTTTCTCATTATTGCCACTAATTAACTAATTGAGCTGATTGGATCATATGAATGTGTCAGTGCACAGGAAGGACGGACTTATTATAATTTTGTATTTTTCTATTCCATTTTCTATTTTTGTTTTCAGTTTAGTTAGTTTCCAGAACAGATGTCATTGTTTCAGATTAGTTTTTCTTGTTTAAAAATATTTAGCTTTAGTTTTTATCAGTGCTGTGTTTGTTGTAATTATAACATGGGGGGTATATGTCAGGGTCATGTAGATATTCCTTCTGAATAAACTTATGCACAAATGCCTCCTCATGCTTGTGTTGACAAATTTGACCAAAGACAAAGACTTTTTCTGTATGTTCTGTATTTTTAAATGTTAGTTTAGCAAGTTTTTACCTTCATTTTACTTAACTAAAAACCAGTTTTAGCTTTACAGTGTAGTTTACAACAATAACCTTGGGGAAAAAGGTAAAAATGACACCTTTTACAGCGGGACCCTGGCCCTTTAAGAGCCCGTCTGTCCAGCAGTGGTAGGAGCATTGGAGAGGAGCTTGGAGCCAGAGACTGCAGCACATCCTCGGCTGCTGCTGGCCCACCTGACTGCACGACACAGCGGACAGACATCACAGCAAACCCCGGTCCTGCAGGGTGGGGGAATGGGGGGCACATAGCCCGCTTGCTTCCTATTTAAAAAAAAAAAAAGATTTTCTCAAAAGCGTTGGAGGAGACTCACGGTCCAGCAAGATGGTATCCTGGATTATTTCGAGGATAGTAGTGTGAGTATGGGCTGGGCTGCATCTGTTGTTGTGGTTAAAACGTTAGCGGCTCCTCCATTCATCAGCTGTCTGATGAACGCCGCGACAACCGAGCTAGTAGTTAGCCTCGGTGTGCTCTGTCATCCATTTCCCTGTCCGTGTATGTGTTATATACATTTTATGAATGTAGATAAATACCTAAACTCTTAATTTAGTTAATAATAAGCGCTGAACTAACCCTGTAGCAACCGTTGCTGTTTGAAGCAGTGATGCGGGACTATCTGCATCCAGCCCTCGCTAGCCGCTGGTAGCTACCGTCTGCTGGCTGGCCTGTTAAGTGTGAAACCACCTGACAGATAATGTGTTGGCAGAGAAAAGGAGCTGCTAGTCGGCCACGTTATTCAAGTAAAACCTGCTTAATATAAACCAAACCTGGCTGCAGACAAGGAGCCAGACTCCAAACTTGTCGCCATGGCCTTTTATATATTTTATTCTTTCTTCATCACAGCCTGAATCCTGCTGCTCTGCACACCAGCACCATATGGTAACATGAGTTGGTAAAATGTGATGGCCCAGTAAAGCCAGTCAGGGGTGTGTGTGTGTGTGTGTGTGTGCGTGTGCATCGATCCAGGATTAGATCTGTGTTCAGGAACTGGCCAGATCAATGTGGATGACTGGTATATTTTTAAGTGTTGCATCATGTTAAAGATACCAGCTGTTTCAGCAGGTCAGGCCTGGGCTTCCACCTGTACACATCCCGACTGTGTGGATGACTCAACCAAAGCCAGCAGCAGCAATCATCACCCTGATCCTGTATGCAGACGCTTTGCAATGCTGCATTAGTATTGTCTAATGTCAAAGGGACTGAGGGAGCAGGGTATTGTGTCGTCTGACTACTGGGTGCGAATGTCAGTGATCAGGAAAGATCAGATGGTATTAAAGTTTATGGAAATGTATCCAGATCTGCATATCATTTATCTTATAAAGCTAAAGATCCATGTCTGTAATCTTCTGGATACAGACAGTATCCACATCCAAACATTTCACCACCTACCTCCTGGATGCTACTGTATTTTTGTGCCTTTATTCCAGTGAGTGCTGTCAGTTTCTGGTGGATTTAACCAGGCTGTGCTTAAGCTTGGTGGTGTAACCCAGTGGTGTCTTTGAAAAGGTCCCCGGTGTAGAGATGTTCTCGATGTTTCATCCCCAGTAAATATTCCGCTGACTGGATTATGTAAAAAACACATTGGCAAACGGTTACTTTTAGCAGCTTCCAGCTGGCTCTTCCACTTCACTGAACCTCAGGTAGTCATGCGTGGATGGGAGTCAAACAATGTGAGTGGATATGCATCATAATGGCTGCTGCACATCCAACACAAGATCAATCATCTCTCACCTTTACTCTGTGCGTCAAACATGCAGCTGGCTCTTTGTTGTTGTTGTTTTTTAAAAGTTAATCAGACAGAAAAATGGTTTGTCCAAACCTGAAGAACTAAAAACAGGTGAAATAAGCAGCTTAACCAAACAGTATGCTCAATATCTCTGATCTTGGAATCTCAGCCAGAAGACGGGATGCCCTCAAACTCTGAGAAATGAACCCGAGATGGGGACGGAAAGTGGCGTAGGGCGTCTGCTGAGGGAGTCTGCTGGCTTGAGGCCTTTCTAAGAGTCGCCTCAGCTTACTGTACAAAGCTGAGAGCTGCTGCACACATGACTGAGCAGCTCCGACACAATACTGTACACGGACAGAAGACCTACTTAAATGCTGAGAAAGGCTACCAATAGCTAGGAGCGCAAGCCTCATACTGTAGGTAGACATTCAACCCTTTTAGTTAATATATGCGACGCAATCGGTGGTTTACACTGTGGGCACGTAAAAACAAACTAGTGGCTTTCTGAACTGTATTCTCCCTGCTGTCCCCTCACTCAGCATTTAGCATCCTGTCACATCAGCACAAATCACCACAGTGGCACAGGATGTCACCAAATGCACATCAAAAACCCGGCCCTGTGTGCATTGTGTCCCAGTCTGCACTCGGACCAACACATGGTGACCCACCCCTGGCAGATCTTTGTGTGTTTTTCCACTTGATCTCTCTGCGATTTTCCTGACTTTATGACCTGCTTCATATGTTGTTTTTTTTGTACTGATTATCAGGCCAGTGTGTTTTGACAAGCCGCTGCCCATCAGCTGTCTACTGTAGAAAAAACACAGAGAGACTGACTTTGCTGGGTGATACTATATATATATTTCCTGACTAGTTTTGTTTTATTGTTTACATTCTGCACACATGACTGCATTCAAATGTTTTTTTATGTTCTGTGTCCTCCTGACAGAAGAACAAGCCACTAGAAATTAAATAAAATGCTCTCATATACGGTGAAACTTCCATAATCCTAAAAAAATACTGTGATACAAATGACTGCCCAGCACTAGTATAAACAGAACTTTAATACATGTGTTAACATAAACTCAGAGCAAACTTGGCTAACCTGCTTTTTAAGCAGGAACACATTTGTTAGGTGTCTGAGTCAACACCCAGAGGGTATGTTCTCAAGCTGAATCCCCTTTCCTCTGACCCACACTTCTCTGCTCCTCTACCTGTTTTTTGCAGCCTTGCCTTTGGGACGCTCTATCCAGCATACTCCTCATACAAGGCTGTCAAAACGAAGAACGTGAAGGAATATGTGAGTATCCCCTCACAGCAGAACCATTTTTGACCCCTGCCTGCTCTGTTTGACTTTTGGGATGTTTTTGCCCCGGGCTGCTGCTAGCTATTTTTACACTAATGTTTTAAATGCACAGTGTGAGAAGGAATCTTAAAACAAAGCCCACAGACACTTGACTTTCTTAAAATCGGAGGACACATATTAATCTGTCTACCACACTGATTATTCTGTTTCTTTGAGCACTATTACTCAAAGGTTCCTTACCCAAAAATATCCAGCATGTTGGATGATGATCGGGGTCTCCCACAACAACCTTTACGAAACGATAATGGTTCTAAAAGATCAAATAATAACTCCATATCTCTGTCTCAATCCTAATTCTTACAAATCATTCATACAAATAATTTTTATCCAAATCTGCAAAGAATATATGAATGTACCTGCAGCTCGTAACGATTACATAACAGCCTGCCACATTGCAGATTGTGCATCGTCTAGTTCAGTTGTCCACAATTTCTTCACCACAAAATGATTTCTAGGTGAAAAAAATAAACTTTAGTTTTAAGAGGAAACGAGCCAATAAGATTGGGGACCACTGATCTGACACCCATAGCATGTTGAGAGCATGAAACTACCCAATCCCTTGATACCAAAATGATTCATAGTTTGACTGTTCACTCCCTTATTATGTCATGAAGTCCTATAGTGCCTGCAAATCCCCACATTTCCTCTCAGTTCACTGTTTTATTTTAAAATGCGGTCAATGCTCAAGTATGAAAACATTAACACTGAGCTGGGAGAAAAGTTTGGGATTTGGCGTCATTAAAAGATAAATGCTAGAGAATATCTAGCACAACAAATAAAGTGTTAATGAGTTTAAGATGGAATAACTAGTGTTGCCACCGGAAAACCGGGATAAAAATCAGTAGATTCCCATTCTGTCTTTGGCTGAGAGTCGGGGTCCTCCCTGCTTACCTCATCACTGCAAGGGATGAGAGAAAGAGAGAGGGGGTCCGGGAGACAGAGGAGGAGGAGGAGGAGGAGGAGGAGGAGGAAATACAGCATTCTGGCCCTCCGCCTAGACTTGCACTGGTGAACAGTCTCCTCCTGGCAGGTTACCATGGCAACCCCTCCCTCTCAACCGCTACTCAAGCAGACGGCCACAGAAGGAGCGAAATGAGGGGAAGAGGAAGAGGCGGGGAGAGAGAGAGAGAGAGAGAGAGTGGAGGACGCCATTTTTAGAACTGATGTTTTCATTCCCCTCTCCTCTTGTTTGACTCATTTCTAATGAGTCGAATGATTCAGCGTTATGTGCGTTTACACGGCTGCACGCCTGGGCCTTTGAACATGCCATTACCGCGCACTGCTTTCCCCTAACTTAGTCATATTTGATGTACTAATATGTTTCATTATTGATAATGTATTTCCACTAAATCTACGTTTTGTATTGCCTCTAAGTGCCTAATTTATAGCAGTTTAGACAATGCCCTACATTTCCTTTGTCCATGGGAGATTAACCAGGCATACTGATGTGATCCGACAGAACTGAAACATATGTTGCACTTCTGCATTGGCATGTCTGTTCAGCTCCACGTGTCTCAGCACGTGCACACTGGATGCTGTGGGTTTTCATGTGCTATTTTTGTGATGTTCTCTACTCACCTCTGTGTGCGTGTGTGTGTGTGTGTGTGTGTCCAGGTGAAGTGGATGATGTACTGGATAGTATTTGCGTTGTTCACGACAGCAGAGACGGCCACAGACCTGCTCCTATCATGGTGAGTCAGGAGCTGCTCGTGATCCTGACCCTCCACTAGTTTGTAATAAATAAACCACTTATATAATATCAATAGATGCATTCATGTGTGTATCCAGTGCTAAGTGTTCTTGATATTTTTAGTACGATGATCTTTTAGCGTTTTAGTTTCTTTAATTGTGTCTTTCTCTTTATAACTTGGAGGTCTATACCTTCCTCAAGCTGTTTTTCTTTTCCTCTCTGCTGACTGCATAACTCTGTTTCATTACTCAGGTTTCCATTTTACTTTGAGCTAAAGATTGCCTTTGTGATCTGGCTCCTGTCCCCATACACCAAGGGCTCCAGTGTCCTCTACCGGAAGTTTGTCCACCCAACCCTGTCCAACAAAGAGAAGGTATGAACATGAGTTGTCTTTAAGTCCATCTCACAAATGTAAACTGGTTTGTACGTCCAGATTTCTTTCTCATATTCTGATCTTTCTCTGCTCTAATTTTCCATTGTTGTCTGTGTTATAGGAGATAGATGAATACATCGCACAGGCCAAAGACAGGAGTTATGAGACCATGATGAGGTTTGGAAAGAGGGGTCTCAACCTGGCTGCTAATGCTGCTGTCACTGCAGCCGCCAAGGTGAGCCATGTGCTCTGTTTCTCTTACGGAGTGATCAGTCATCTGAGAGCCCATTATCATTCTGGTATAAGGGAAAAAAT